ATTTATTTATTTAAATTGCTGCCATTCAACCATCTTGAACTTGATCATAAAATGAATATATGTGCACATGCACATGTGTGACATGATGTAGTTTGATAACATAAGTTTGAACATGATCAGTAAAAGCAAGTCAAAAACCATTGGTAAAAAGATTATGTATGTGTGAAGTTTAATTGGTATGTTTGAGTAAAGTAGGGATAAACAAACAAGTTTAAATTCTTGTTTCCAGATTTCATCCAAATGAGGATTTATAAAGAAAATATGAGAAGATTACAATATGAATGATGTCCAGTGAAATGCTAATTTCAGCACTACGAATAAATGGACAGTATTATTTTACTATTTTATTTAGGCAAGTGCCTTCAAAATGACTGCAAATCACTAGTTTATTATAAAAGTGTATTCATGACAATACTCTCATGCCCCAAATAAACATGCCCCTCCCCGGACAAATCTTCAAAATCTTATAAACATACTCCCCGGAAAATTTCCCAAATGACCGGTAAATTGTTTCCTTGCCTCTAAAATGTGCTCTTACTGATGTATATGCAAACTTTTTACTGTTCCTTGTAATTAGGAATATAAATGGGCAACAAATGATGCATTTCTAGCAATATATGTCAAGTCTCTGTTTGCCAGGCCGCAAGATGTAATTAAATAATTTAATAATGATTGTATTAACACTTACACATTCCCCAGTAGGATTAGCAATGGTTACAAATGTTTATGAAAGAATGAAAGGTTAAAAAAAAAAAATTAAAATAAAACTAAGCTAATACATTACAGAGAAAAAATATTAAGACTACATTATCATACTATAAAGAGATGGAAAACAAAATGCAAAACTAAAACTGTGAAAGAAGATTGTCCACTGGGATTGCTTTAGGTACCTTGCTACAAGGAGTGTTAGACCACTGTTATTTAGCAAGGCTATGAATTGTGTTTTTGGTGGCAAATTTTTTTAAGTTTTGGATTTTGGTTTTTGCCATTTCAAATAAGTAATTTCTTTCGGGGGTATATCTTTTGCATGACATCATTAGGTGATACTCGTCTTCTACTTCGTTCTGATCACAAAGGTTGTATAATCTATTAGCAAGGGGTATTCCTTTAATTGGTTTTTAATTCTCTGTATGTTCTTAATTTATTTTTTTTCGTTTTGTTTTCAAATAGCAAACCAAACACTACCCGAGTCAGCCTGGCTGGGAAACTTTCCAGCCAATCAGTCACGGTACAATGGTAACGTATTGAGTGCAAAATTGTTGCAAGGACAATACTTTTCTCGGTTTGCGTGCCGCTGTGCATCAATAAAAAAATGCACAGGATGGTCGACAGCATCGATCAAAAACATCTAGTGCGACCTTCGTTGCTAGCAAAAAGCAAGATACCGTATAATCTTTTAAATAGAAGTCGAGGAGTGAAAAGTCTCAATTTGGTTCTACAAAAGGGGTCACGAAATGTTGAAAAATTACAGTCAATCAAAAAAACTGTTCACATAAAAAAAAAAATTTGTTGGTAACGAAAAGTATATTTTAAAGGAAGTTTTGAATAAAAGCAAAGACATTGCAAAGATCACGGTATGGTAGCACAAGTCATGCTGCATTTCACAAGTGAATAACTTACTTGTTTTCGAAATTTTGCAATTGTTGTTTAGTACTCAGTAGTGATTATAATAATGTACAAACTATAAAATCATTGAATTGTTATGAAATGCAAGTAAAATTCAACTTTGTTTCATGGTAAGCAAATGATTTCTGTCACATGTAAACGCTCGATGCGATACCCGTCATGTTTTCCATGCACACGAGACCTGAAACAACTGTTTATTGACCTGATAGGTCAAGTTGCTAATTAACCAATCAAAACGCTGGAGGGTGCCAAGGTGTTCAAATTACCCTAGCTCATTTAAATATGTTAATGACAGTTCAGTGACTTCACGATGAA